TTAGGAGCACTGGGCTGTCTTGCACTAAGGGTGTAAGATTACTAGGAGAGAGTAGTGTAGTTCTAGGAAGTCTAGGAGTGGTAGGTGTATGTATGCTTGCTAGGAGTGTCTATAAATACTAGGATAATTAATAGTACTAGGATAATCTACGAGTACTAGGAAAATCTGCAAATTCAAAGAATGAATTAGTAATATGAAAATCAATGGTACCAGAATCTACGAGTACTAGGAGAATCAGCGAGTACCAGAGAATCAACGAGTACTAGGAGAATGAAGTACTAGAGACATTAACGAGTACTAGGAGAATCTACGAGTACTATGAGGAATCTACGAGTACTAAGAGAGTCCATGAGTACGAGGAGAATCCCCGAGTACTAGGAACGCACCGAAATTCTTAAAGAAATCGCCTGTGAGCTACGAGACTCAGGGATTACAAGCGGAGATTAATTATTGGGGAGGATTAAGATAAGAGATCTGAGCTCGACAAAGGATTCCTGGAGGCAGGTAGAGAAAGTTACAAGGAATTACAAATACATGGAGGTACAAGGCAGTACAAGGGACAATATGAAAGTAAAAGTTCAAGAAAGTACAAGGTAATACAAGAAAGTTTAAGAAAGTACAAGGTAATACAAGAAAGTTGAAGAAAGTACAAGGTAATACAAGAAAGTTGAAGAAAGTACAAGGTAATACAAGAAAGTTGAAGAAAGTACAAGGTAACACAAGAAAGTTGAAGAAAGTACAAGGTAATACAAGAAAGTTGAAGAAAGTACAAGGTAATACAAGAAAGTTGAAGAAAGTACAAGGTAATATAAGAAAGTTGAAGAAAGTACAAGGTAATACAAGAAAGTTGAAGAAAGTACAAGGTAATACAAGAAAGTTGAAGAAAGTACAAGGTAATATAAGAATATACATTAAAGTACAAAAAACACAAAGTAGTACAAGGAAGTACTAGGAAAAACAAGTACAAATTAGTGATAGTATTATATGCTACGTTCTCTATGTTTCCAGACTTATGTGACTTATATCAGTACCTGACCAGCCGGGCTGTGGTTCGTACGTCGGGTTGCGTGCGGCCAGCAGTAACAGCCTGGTTGATCAGACCCTGATCCACCGTGAGGCCTGGTCAGAGACCGGGCAGCGGGGGCGTTGACCCCCGAAACCCTCTCCAGGTATATTATTTCTATTCTATTTGTAATTGTATACAACGCCAACTACACTTGGGGGTCTATTGCCGAGGGACTGATTACCTCCCACACAGGGTGAGGGACTGATCACCTCCCACACAGGGTGAGGGACTGATCACCTCCCACACAGGGTGAGGGACTGATCACCTCCCACACAGGGTGAGGGACTGATCACCTCCCACACAGGGTGAGGACTGATCACCTCCCACACAGGGTGAGGGACTGATCACCTCCCACACAGGGTGAGGGACTGATTACCTCCCACACAGGGTGAGGGACTGATCACCTCCCACACAGGGTGAGGGACTGATCACCTCCCACACAGGGTGAGGGACTGATCACCTCCCACACAGGGTGAGGGACTGATCACCTCCCACACAGGGTGAGGGACTGATCACCTCCCACACAGGGTGAGGGACTGATCACCTCCCACACAGGGTGAGGGACTGATCACCTCCCACACAGGGTGAGGGACTGATTACCTCCCACACAGGGTGAGGGACTGATCACCTCCCACACAGGGTGAGGGACTGATCACCTCCCACACAGGGTGAGGGACTGATCACCTCCCACACAGGGTGAGGGACTGATCACCTCCCACACAGGGTGAGGGACTGATCACCTCCCACACAGGGTGAGGGACTGATCACCTCCCACACAGGGTGAGGGACTGATCACCTCCCACACAGGGTGAGGGACTGATCACCTCCCACACAGGGTGAGGGACTGATTACCTCCCACACAGGGTGAGGAACTGATCACCTCCCACACAGGGTGAGGGACTGATTACCTCCCACACAGGGTGAGGAACTGATCACCTCCCACACAGGGCGAGGGACTGACCACCTCCCACACAGGGTGAGGGACTGATCACCTCCCACACAGGGCGAGGGACTGATCACCTCCCACACAGGGTGAAGGACTGATCACCTCCCACACAGGGTGAGGGACTGATCACCTCCCACACAGGGTGAGGGACTGATCACTTCCCACACAGGGTGAGGGACTGATCACCTCCCACACAGGGTGAGGGACTGATCACCTCCCACACAGGGCGAGGGACTGATCACCTCCCACACAGGGTGAAGGACTGATCACCTCCCACACAGGGTGAGGGACTGATCACCTCCCACACAGGGTGAGGGACTGATCACCTCCCACACAGGGCGAGGGACTGATCACCTCCCACACAGGGTGAAGGACTGATCACCTCCCACACAGGGTGAGGGACTGATCACCTCCCTCACAGGGCGAGGGACTGACCACCTCCCACACAGGGCGAGGGACTGATCACCTCCCACACAGGGTGAAGGACTGATCACCTCCCACACAGGGCGAGGGACTGACCACCTCCCACACAGGGCGAGGGACTGACCACCTCCCACACAGGGTGAGGGACTGACCACCTCCCACACAGGGCGAGGGACTGACCACCTCCCACACAGGGTGAAGGACTGATCACCTCCCACACAGGGCGAGGGACTGACCACCTCCCACACAGGGCGAGGGACTGACCACCTCCCACACAGGGTGAGGGACTGACCACCTCCCACACAGGACGAGGGACTGATCACCTCCCACACAGGGTGAAGGACTGATCACCTCCCACACAGGACGAGGGACTGATCACCTCCCACACAGGGTGAAGGACTGATCACCTCCCACACAGGGTGAAGGACTGATCACCTCCCACACAGGGTGAAGGACTGATCACCTCCCACACAGGACGAGGGACTGACCACCTCCCACACAGGGTGAAGGACTGATCACCTCCCACACAGGGCGAGGGACTGACCACCTCCCACACAGGGCGAGGGACTGACCACCTCCCACACAGGGTGAGGGACTGACCACCTCCCACACAGGACGAGGGACTGATCACCTCCCACACAGGGTGAGGGACTGACCACCTCCCACACAGGACGAGGGACTGATCACCTCCCACACAGGGCGAGGGACTGATCAACTCAAAACTACCTCTACTGCTTCTGGTGTTGTGTTTATCCATATTCGACTGAAGAAGACAGTTGTGCAGGCGGAACATTCCGGAAATGACGACATCCAAATGTTGCACAGGTCTCTCACTCATCATTATTTCTACACGTTCCTGTAGTGTCCCAACATTCTACACATTTCACTCTTTGGGACTTTTCTTCTAACATTCTCTAAACATTCATCTTTCCTGGATATCAACAAATTCACTTGTCATAACCTTTTATTGCTTTTATATTGCATTATTAACTCGACTTTTGTTGGTATGACATGCACTGAATAGCAAGTCTTAATTTTAGACCATCTTGCCTCAGGATCAGACTTAATCATACCTGATAACGCTTTACAAGTAATATAATGTAAAAAAATGAAAACTTTTTCTGATTTACGAGTGCTTTTATACCCACCTGTTGCTTTATTGGTGCTCAAATGTAACAGTGGCTTGTATTGCATTGTTTAGATCGCCTATTTGCGATTGATTTTCACATTATATATAAATATTGTATCTGTCCACAACATGATTCGAAAATGCACTTTGCATCAAAGTACGCAGTACTTTATCCACACAGCCAGATCCCAAATATAACTGTTAAGCATTACAAAATAACTTATAAGTCTAGTGTTCCGGGGTATGGGAGTGACCGTCTAGCTTCGGCTGGGAGCCCATACTTATCTGGGATTTGGCTGTGTGGCTAAAGTATTGCGTACTTTAATGTAGAGTACGCGAGTTTGAATCCTCCCTGATAACGCTTGTAAATAATTTCACCCGTTTGTGAATTAAAGCATATTTTTTTTTCCAACAAACCGGCCGTATCCCACCGAGGCAGGGTGACCTATAAAGAAAAAAGGAAAGTTTCTCTTTTTACATTTAGTAATATACAGGAGAAGGGGTTACTAGCCCCTTGCTCCTGGCATTGTAGTCGCCTCTTACGACACGCATGGCTTACGGAGGAAGAATTCTATTTCACTTCCCCATGGAGATAAGAGGAAATAAACAAGAACTAGTAGGAAAATTGAAGAAAACTCAGAGGTGTGTATATATATTTGATTGTACATGCATGTGTAGTGTGACCTAAGTGTAAGTTAAAGTAGCAAGACCTACCTGAAACCTTGCATGTTTATGAGACAGACAAAAGACACCAGCAATCTTACCACCATGTAAAACAATTACAGACTTCTGTTTTACACTCACTTGGCAGGACGGTAGTACCTCCCTGGGAGGTTGCTGTCTACCAACCTACTACCTAAGTAAAGCATATTATATATATATATATATATATATATATATATATATATATAAAATATATATATATCGTGCCGAACAGGTAAAACTTTTGATTTTAGCTTAAACAGCAACGCTCTTCTTGCCGAATAAGCCAAGCGAAAATGAGTGTGTGCAATAATTTCGCAAAAAAACATTCTAAACCTAACAAAAAAAATATTTAATTGTGTTTTTTTATTGTCAACTTATCTTCAATACATTTAACTGGATTAGGATAAATTAAATTGCGCTTGTTATAATAAGGTTTAAGTTTTCTAAGGTTCTTTTGGTACAAAATTATTAATTTTTACATTAACACAAATGAAAAAAATTATCTTTAAACGTGTACGTAAGAGAAAACTTTAGGAAGGACTTAATCTTAAATGAGTTCTTGTTAATTGACCAGTTTTACCTATTAGGCACGACATATATTTAACTGGTAAAAATGCGTATTAATGAAGTACAAAGTGTAAAACAGGAACTTAAGTGCTAGTTGAGTACAAAGTACATACAAACAAATACTCATGTACTATTTAAGTACAAAGTACATAAAAGGTACTCACATGTAGAAGGGTCTGCGTGCGCCATCCTTGTACCAGACCACTAAGATGGGTGTGTCACCTGGGCGGGGGTGGGCAGCCACGCATGGTAAGTGGGCGGCGGCCCCCGCCACCCCGCCTACACTTGTTACCGGCCCTGAGGAGGAAGAGGAGAGATTACATGAGCAAACAGATGGTTAGGTAATTAGGTGAGCTACTAATGACATGGTGAGTGACTTGTCTATGTAAGGAAGTCGTGAGTAATTGATACTACTACCTCTCTGTGTAACGCTATCTGTACACTCAACACCCCCCACTCCACACCCCCCACCCCACACTCCACACCCCCACGACACACTTCACACCCCAACGACATACACCCACAACACACACCCACAACACACACCCACAACACACACCCACAACACACACCCACAACACACCCACAACACACACTCACAACACACACCCACAACACACACCCACAACACACACCCACAACACACCCACAACACACCCACAACACACACCCACAACACATTCCCCACCACCAACACAGTATTTCAACCAACGTCATACATGACACATCAAGAGACCTTCCAATATATCAAGGTTCCTCACTGCCCCATGAAAGGTGTAAGCTGTCAGTCCATTAAGTGTCAGTAGAGTACATTTATCAGCGTACCTACATTTTTGAGGCCCCTGAAGACTGAACTGTTATGGGGGCCCTTCGCAACCAACAACGGGGCCCCTCACAACCAACAACGGGGCCCTTCGCAACCAACAACGGGGCCCTTCGCAACCAACAACGGGGCCCCTCACAACCAACAACGGGGCCCTTCACAACCAACAACGGGGCCCCTCGCAACCAACAACGGGGCCCTTTGCAACCAACAACGGGGCCCTTCGCAACCAACAACGGGGCCCTTCGCAACCAACAACGGGGCCCCTGGCAACCAAAAACGCGCCCCCTCGCAACCAACAACGAGGTCTGAGGTCTGGGTAACCACTGTCATCTTCACTGAGGATTGTTACACGACAGATCACCAAAAATTTTTAAAATTAACCAGATTTTGATAAATATTGCTGTACTGGATTATCTCACATGTCAAAGTCACTGGTGTGAATAAAAATTTCCTGTGCCTTATAATTTTCGAGTTATGGGGGGGGGATAAAAATTATGGAAATGCTATATCCATGTATGATGCATCATCGAATCATGAAATAAAACAGAAAAGACCACAGTCAATAAAATCTTATATTTCAGACACCTAAATGGTACATTAATAACCTTTTAAACATTAATGATTTTGCACTGAATTAAATTATTTTTTAAATTATTATAATCACGGGGGAGCGCTAAACCCGTAGGATCACACAGCGCACGTGGGTGGGGGTGGATGGAAGGTATTCAGGATCAATTCGGGGAACCGCAGCACAGATCCAATTCCCTAGATCAAGAGCCCCTCACCAGCATCAAGGAACCTCCCTTGAGTTTTTTTTTTACACTCTTCTCATACAGTAGACCCAAAATTTCTAAGTAATGCGGACTAAAGTGGCTTTTCAGGTCCCACCGGGATTGAGGTCCTTGAAGTATCAGCTTCGTTAATTTCACAGTAGATCCGCTCCTGTCAGCGTGTTAGCGTTGTCAACTTCGTTAATTTCACAGTAGATCCGCTCCTGTCAGCGTGTCAGCGTTGTAAACTTATATGATTAGGTCATGTAAGTTTTTATGTAGACGTGGTGTATGTCTGTTATGTAGGTGTTATGTTGGTGAAGGCAGGGTGGTGGTTGTCAGCAGCTGGTGAAACAGGGTGGTGGTTGTCAGCAGCTGGTGAAGGCAGGGTGGTGGGTGTTACCACCTGGTGAAGGCAGGGTGGTGGGTGTCAGCAGCTAGTGAAGGCAGGGTGGTGGTTGTCAGCAGCTAGTGAAGGCAGGGTGGTGGGTGTTACCAGCTGGTGAAGGCAGGGTGGTGGGTGTTACCAGCTGGTGAAGGCAGGGTGGTGGGTGTCAGCAGCTGGTGAAGGCAGGGTGGTGGGTGTTACCAGCTGGTGACTCAGTAATTCATGACACGGTACAAGAATCATGGCGTAAGTGTCTCATTCCATTGATTTCCCAAGTGGGTCTCTCTCACTTTTTAATAGCAGTCATCTCTGTACACGTACACGTACACACACACACACACACACACACACACACACTTATAAATTATTTCAAGACATTGTAGATGAATGGCTCATAGAACCGACAGGTTGATAAATTAGACACATGTGCAACTCTTGGGTATCTTTATTGAGGAAACGTTTCGCCACACAGTGGCTTCATCAGTCCATACAAAGGAGAATGGTGAAGAACAGGAGGAGTTTGAGGTAATCAGTCCCTCAGCCTTTAGTCGATGTGTTCAGTCCATCAATCTTGAAGAGGGGCAGCAGTCGTAGGTGGTGTCACATTTGTCCAATGTGGAAGTAGGTCGTGCCCAAGGGTTAGGCAAGCGAAGAATTCCCAAGTATTAAGATCCCAAGAAGTTGCTGTGTCAGACAGGATTGTAGATGAATGGTTCATAGAACCGATCTTAATACTTGAGAATTCTTCGCTTGCCTAACCCTTGGGCACGACCTACTTCCACACTGGTCAAATGTGACACCACCTACGACTGCTGCACCTCTTCAAGATTGATGGACTGAACACATCGACTAAAGGCTGAGGGACTGATTACCTCAAACTCCTCCTGTTCTTCACCATTCTCCTTTGTATGGACTGATGAAGCCACTGTGTGGCGAAACGTTTCCCTAATAAAGATACCCAAGAGTCGCATATGTGTCTAATTTATAAATTAGACACATGGAATTAGACACATGGAATTAAAGTCATATCAAAAAAATAGACGAAGAAATAAAGTAGAGTAGTGTAATAGGTGTAGAAGAACTATGAAAAAAATAAGTCATGTAAGAAACGAGTGATTAAGAAACTTAAAGAATCAGAGGACAGAAATGAACATACGAATGTAAGGAGAGAAGAAACTTAGAAAAGGAAATAGAAAGTTAGAATCAAATATGTTAAAGTTAGTAAAAAAGTGAACTAAATAATAAAGATCAGTAAAGCAGAGGAGGAAATAAGTGAGGTATTAAAAGTTAAGTTTTCTTTCATGTTTACTAAAGAAGATAATTTAAATAAAGTAACTTCTAACCACAGATAATTAACATGTAGGATACTGACATAACTGAAGAGTAAATATTATTAATAATTCATGTTAGGAGCTAAACCCCTGTGGGTCATTCAGCCCAAGACGTGGTGGAGGCTCAATCCTCCGTCTGCTGAGCACCAGACAGAAGCATTAAAATGGTATAAAATACCGACAGTTTCAGACAATGGAACAATACTCTTCTCCAGACTGAGGGACTGACCACCTCAAAACTTTAAGGGTGATGGACTGATTACATCGTCTTCAAGTCTCTTCTGCTTCTATCAACTTTTCTGTACTCGACTGAAGAAGCCTACTGTGTAGGCGAAACGTTTCGAAATAAAGATACCTAACTGTTGCATATGTGTCTTACCTAACAACCAGACAGAAGCACTTTCCATTTATACTCACCTAGTTGTAAATCAGTAAAGAAATTACCATTACATGGTGACAAAAAAAATAAAAATAACACCCTGGGTTTTGAAATATGTGAAGACATACACTGTCCATTTTGGAATTTTTTTTTTAAAATGTCACGAAAAGGTAAATTGGAAGACAAGTGGAAGATGGAATACATAACGTGCAAAAATTTTAAGCTGTCAGGGAGGACTCTACTGGTCAGTTTGATTAACAAGAGTTGTAAAAATATATGAAAAAAAAAACACGAGAGGGAAGAGGACAGCATGGAGTGCAAACTAGTAGACAACTGGGTTTTCCGTCAACCAATTTGTAAATAAGAAGTCTATTAAGCAATTATGTCCGTGAGAGCAACTGTTCAAGAAATCAGTAGATGGATTGTATTAAGTATTTATGAACGTTTTGACATAGTTCCCGTGATACATAAATATGAATAATGCAAAACAGAGAAGAAAAAGGGAGGAAATTATCACAGCCAATTGTTTTCATAATGTTTCTAATTTATATGACTAATCAGAAGGAATAAAAAATTATATGTATATATATTTAGAGAAAGATGCAACAATCTTAGGTAACATGTACAGTGAAAATTACTGTAAATCACTGCAGGATGACATGGATAACTGGAACAGAAGTAAACTATACCACGGGAGGGGTTTGAACCCACGGTCAGAGTCTCAAAACTCCAGACCGTCGCGTTAGTCACTGGGCCAGCTAGCATCAATAAGATTCATCCAACTAGGTACATATATACATCATAGGAAGGTTAGCTAACGCGACGGTCTAGAGTTTTGAGACTCTGACCGCGAGTTTAAACCCCACCCGTGGTATGGTTTGTTTGCAATCGTGTCATTACGATTTCGTGAGTCTTGTGGAACAGAAGTAACTGATGGATGATGATATTAAATGTAAATTAATGCCTTGTGATGTTAAGGGGAGAAAGGAAAAACAGGCCACCCGAATACTGAGAGATAAAATACTGACAGTTAGAAAGGCCTAGGAATTATTACCACGAAAATTTCACAAGGTCTTATAACTGAAATTGTGAGAAACTCTTAAGCTACTTTGAAAAACCATAAATTAAGCTTTCAAATATAATGACTTAGGAATATAAGACGATAAGTGGAATTTCCAGCGGGTATTTGTTGTTCACACACAGACGTACAGACGTTTGGATAAATCAGACAAGGTCCAAGTGGGAATTACGATCCAAGGTACGGGTGGGGTTAGAATTCATGGCAAGTGAGTCGTAAAACTGCAGGCCAGTGCGTAAGCCACTGGGATAAATCTTATTGTAGCCAGTTGGTCCAGTGGCCTGGAGTTCTACCACTTGCTTGCCATGGATTCTAACCCCACCCGTACCATGCTTTGTTTACAATCGTGTTATTATGATTTCGTGAGTCAAGAGATGCGATTATTGGTTGTTAACTTAGTGTTAACGTTGCCTGGCAGGAAGAGACATTTTTCATATATATATATTTTCATCGAAGGGTAAAAATATACATAAATTACATCTTGTGGCATGCAAAGAGTACGTAACCTTTATTCGGCGCATGTACACACCCTCATTTACAGGCTATCTCCCCCAACCAGCGAACCAGGTTGCTAAGAGTTGATGATGGGGCCCCGTCGTTCAACTAGTGACCAGGTTCTAGCCAATAAGATGGTTTTGGCAATCGCAGAGGTTATGTGGGTACCGCTCTCCTGTCTGCCCTTGTCATTCCCATTCTAGAGCTGGTTGAAGCACGGTCTGCTATCTTGTGGCTTCTATTTCTGCTTTGCTTACCGTGGAGTGCACTATACTTATCACTGTACATAGTGTACATATTGCTGTTCTAAACTGGTGAAGGATAATATAAGTCTAAACTTTTTCTGCTGTGTTTATTTTGCTCCCATTACACCCGGGATAACAGGCCATTTGGAATCCTGGGTTGTAATACATCTCTTAATACCTGTAACACACATAAGTCCCAGTTGTA